TATCCCAACACCCCAAGTTCCCAAATCCCAAATCATCATCAAGCAGAGCGTTCCCAGTGCCTGAGGTGCAGGATTTGGGATTTGGGATGTTTGGGTACTGCAGTGTTTGGATATGGAAGTGTCTGGACTCCACATTTCTCCCAGAACAACAGAAAATCATCATTAGCATACCCTGAAATCCCAATATCTCAAACCACAGGATTTTGGGCAGTGGGTTTTTTTTGCTCATGAGGATTTTTTGGCGTCCTCAACAAAACCATCGCTGCAGATGACCCCACCCACCCCCCTCAGTCCCACCCCCTCGACAATGGATGAGGAGACGGGAAAGGCTCAGAGAACTTCAAGTGATGCTTTATTGTGCCAAGGGGCTGCTCCAGGCAGGCAGGGAGCAGCCAGAGCCCAACTCCCAAAGCTTCCCTCTCCCATTTCCCGTGCCAGGCTCAGTCCTTGTCCGGCCCGCAGCGCTCTTTGTTCCCCCTGGGGTCCATATCCCAACACCCCAAGTTCCCAAATCCCAAATCATCATCAAGCAGAGCGTTCCCAGTGCCTGAGGTGCAGGATTTGGGATTTGGGATGTTTGGGTACTGCAGTGTTTGGATATGGAAGTGTCTGGACTCCACATTTCTCCCAGAACAACAGAAAATCATCATTAGTATACCCTGAAATCCCAGTATCTCAAACCACAGGATTTTGGGCAGTGGGTTTTTTTTTTTGCTTCATGAGGATTTTTTGGCGTTCTCAACAAAACCATCGCTGCAGATGACCCCACCCACCCCCCTCAGTCCCACCCCCTCGACAATGGATGAGGAGACGGGAAAGGCTCAGAGAACTTCAAGTGATGCTTTATTGTGCCAAGGGGCTGCTCCAGGCAGGCAGGGAGCAGCCAGAGCCCAACTCCCAAAGCTTCCCTCTCCCATTTCCCGTGCCAGGCTCAGTCCTTGTCCGGCCCGCAGCGCTCGGAGCCGTGGCTGATGCGGTGGGTGTCGTCAGCCAGCTTGCTCAGCACGATGGTGAACTCCTCAAAGCTCAGGTCCTTGTCCTTGTTCAGGTCGGTCTCCTGGAAGAGCTTCTCCAAGTAGCCAGCCCGGTTCCTGTCCTAAATTTGGGGACATAAGGTGGGGGTCACTTCCCTGCCCTGGCTCCATCCCAGAGCTGGGTGGATCCTTCCCTGCCCTGGGAAGGGTTTGGAAGCTGCAGGATGTCCCAACCTCACCCTTAGCTCCAAATTAAACTCCAAAAGGGACAGGATTTTGTCCCAAATCCCTGTGGGTGGGGACACAGCGGCTTTTGGGAGAAATCAATTGGATAAGGCCAATTTTGGGAAAAATCAATTGGACCAGGCCAATTTTGGGAATCATCAATGATGAACTTGCATCGCTTTCCAACTTATTGAGAGGAACATTAATCTCCCAGAACCCTCAGAGCTGAGGCCCAAGAAGCCCTTGAGAAGGTTGGTGAGGCCCTCCAACAAAGACAAGCACATGGATGTCACAGACGTTTAGGAGAAAAAATGCAATTGTGTGGTCTCAGATTTCAATGGGACACCTCAAAGGGGGATCCAAATGGATTTTCTTATCCTACAGATCTCCAAAACCAAATTTGCAACATTTGAAACGACAGCTGGGATCATAATCAGAGCCAGAGCGAGATTGCTGAGAACAGCAGGCAAAGATTTCACAATTTATCTGCCCTTGAAAAGAGAATCTTTCAATTGGGCATTGCAAAAACCAGAAGAATTGCAAATTGCGTGGCTGGAGCATGTCTGATTCACTCTCCACCCCACACAGCAGGAGGAAGAGCAGGGGTGGCCCCAAACTGGGTGTGACAGAAACCCCCCAGTGCCCCCCGTGTCCCAGGGGCTCCTGAGCACAATCCCTGTGGGGTTGTCCCTCGGGAACTCACGCAGGCCTTCAGGAAGGACGGCGCCTGCTCCGTCAGCATCGTCTTGAATTCATTGAAGCTCAGGAGGTCGATCTCACCCTGGCGGACGCTGTACTGGTGGAACGTGTCCACGATGGTCTGCAGGGCCTTCTCCAGGGTGCAGTTCCCCGGGAACTGCCGGCCCCCGGCGTGGCTGTGGGTGCTGGTGGACATGGCTGAGCTCTGGAAGGACCTGCAGGGGTTGGGGACAAACCTCGAAGTTGAGAGGAGCCAAAAATCAGCGGGAGCTGCACCTGAGCCCAGGGACACCTGCAGCTCTTTGGTGTGGAGCAGAAAATGAAGGGATCTGGGGATTTGTTCCAACCCTAACCCTAACCCTAACCTGGAGACACTTTTTGGGTGAGGGAAGCAGGGTCAGGCCACTGGGGCACCACCAACGAGGGCATTTAGGGCAGAGGGCACAGAATTAGTGGTGCCTCCACCAAAGATGGCACCAAAATCCCATTAATTTGTCCTCATTTTCCAACCCAAACCAACCTCCTGCTCTACCCCGAGGAGAACCCATCGCCCTGGGCTGGTGGATCCCAAACTCATCCTTTTCCCTGCAAGGACCATCCTCGTCCTACTCACCCTGGTCTCCGAGGAGGGTTTGCAGGAGATGGATCCGTCAGTGTGACCCAGGAGCCTGGAGCAGCCCTTTTATACCTGTCTGAGGTCCTCTTTCATCAGAGCTGGTGACACACCTGCCACAAGCATCAGCTTGAGTTCACATTTCCCGCACCTGGAAATTGCCAGGTGGGAACCCCGAGCCCCTCCCAGCCTCATTCCTCCACTCAAGTTCCTGGTTGCACCCACCAGGCTTTGGAAATGTTGTCCTTGGCCCCTCCATCACCTCTGACAGGGCTCAGGGAGGGGAAAAACCCCGGCTTGGTCACACCTCCATGTCGAGGGCAAGGACGTTCGGGCAGAAGTTACCAAAACTTGGGGAGTTTTGTAACACAACAAAAAATTTGCACATTTTCCTTCTGCTGTAGGAGCAAACTGGGCTGTTCCACATGGAAACAGGGATAACTTTGTCCCCTGGGTGAGTTTTCAATGTGATTTCTGTTTTCTACAATGCCAACTGCTTGGACACTGCCCAAGACAAAGCAGCATCTGTATTTTATAACTTGTTTTCCAGAATATTTTCCATTGTTTTCTACTTGTACTCTGCTCTCGTCCAGAGATTTTCTGGAGGAAACTGGGCACAAAACCAGGAGAAAACGCAAGGCCAGGGTCTTTTCTGGCTGGTGCAGGAACTGCTGTCTGTTTTGCAATTGTCACCTCTGCGTCACCCGTGTTAGGGACAAGGACGAGCAGACAATGAGAAGATTTAAAAATCAGACAATTAGAAGGTTTAAAATCAGACAATGAGAAGATTTAAAAATCAGACAATGAGAAGGTTTAAAATCAGACAATGAGAAGGAGGAAGAGGGAAGGACCAGCCGAGCCAGGGGTGCCCATTCCTGTTTGAGGATGCTCCGTGTCCCCGGGGCATTGCACGGATTTATTCCGGTATCCCTGACTCACTTTATTGCTCCTTTTGTTTCCCGGCCCCGCTCCTTGCAGACTGGCACCCATCCCAAACTGGAATGTCAAACTGGAGTGTCACCCATCCCAAATTGGGATCACAAATTGGAGTGTTATTGGTCCCAAATTGGAGTGTCACCCATCCCAAACTGGAGCGTCACCCACCCCAAATTGGGATCACAAATTGGTGTGTCACTGATCCCAAATTGGAGTGTCACCAATCTCAAATTGGAATCCCAAATTTGAGTGTCACCGATCCTAAACTGGAGTGTCACCCATCCCAAATTGCACCCTCGTCCCCCAGCTGGCAGGGAAATCCTCTGGTGCTCTTGTGCAGCTCCCACGCACGTCCCCTTTCCCAATTTTCCCAGTTTTCCCCTAAAACCTGTGGGGCAATGCCCAGCCCTGCAAGGGCAGTGATGCCCAAGTGACACAGGGGTGGCAGTGAGTGACATTTGCCTCAAGGGACAAGGGAGGCTCCCCAAATTCAGAGCTGTCCTGTGTCACCGAGGTACCACCCAAACCCCGCTGGTTTCACCCGGGACAGGCCCTGGTTTGGGCTGATGTTGGATCCTCCTGAGCCCGGGGGTTCCTCACTCAGTGTCCCCTCACTGATGGGTCCTGGGGCTCTTCTCCCCTCCTGTTTCAGCCCCCAGGAGCCCACGGTGGCTTTTAGGTGTGTGGTGACCTGGAGGACGTGTCCCAAACCATGAAAGGGCTGACTCGTTCTACAGAGCGGCTGTTCCTCTGAGCAGCTCCCAGCACGGAGTTCCCAGAGCACCTCAGCCTCATCTTTTGCTCTGCTGGGGCTGCTGGGTTGTTTTGGGGTCACAAAAACATCTCACACATGCTTGGGAAGTGGCACCCTCGGAATGCAGCACCCCCAGGATGTGGCACCCCCAGTTCCAGGGCTGGGTCTTGGCAGAGACCCTTGGAAGAGCCTCCCACAACTGTGTTTCACTTCTGGCACTGCCTGAAGCTTCACTCTGGGATCTGACACTCTCCAGTAGCCCCTTCACCCTGTGCTGCCCACTGGGGACCCCCAAAACCTTGTCCCGACCCCCTATGTCCAGATCAAGGGCCCCCCCACTGGAATGCAGCACCCCCGGGATGTGGCACCATCAGAGTGTGGCACCCTTGGGATGTGGCACCCCCAGTTCCAGGGCTGGGTCTTGGCAGAGACCCTTGGAAGAGCCTCCCACAACTGTGTTTCACTTCTGGCACTGCCTGAAGCTTCACTCTGGGATCTGACACTCTCCAGTAGCCCCTTCACCCTGTGCTGCCCACTGGGGACCCCCAAAACCTTGTCCCGACCCCCTATGTCCAGATCAAGGGCCCCCCCCGTGCCACTCTCCCCTTCCCTTTGCTTTTCCCATCCAATCCCTGCAGACCCCAGGACACGGAACACGGATGGGTTTGGTGCTCAAAGGAAGGGATTTTATTTCAATGCCACAAAGGAGAAGCAGGTGACAAAGGTTTGGTTACAGGGCTGAGGCTCCTGGGGGGACTCGGAGTCCCGTGGCTCGGCCACCGGGGGAGACGGTTCCGTTTCAGCGACGGTGGCTGTGCCCATGCCCGTGGTCATGGCCGTGGTCATGGCCATGGTCATCACCAGGGCCCTTGTGGGACCTGTTGTGGGCATCGATGGCCACGAGGCTCAGCGTGGTCAGGAACTCGGTGAACTTGAGGCGGCCGTCGTGGTTGGCATCGGCCTTGGTGAAGAGCTGCTGGATGTAGCTGTCAATGGTCGTTTTGGGCTGTGGGGGAGCAGAGTCAGCTCGGGGTCACTCATCCTTAACCAGCGAGGGCTGAATCCCAAAAAACCCTCCTTCTCTTTGGGAAGCTCCCAAGATAAAGTTCTGGAATGTTCTGCCCAGGGAGGTGGTGGAGTCACCATCCCTGGGTGTGGCACTGGGTGCCAGGGTTTAGTTGAGGGGTTGGGGCTGGGTTGGACTCGATGATCTTGAAGGTCTCCTCCAACCCAGTGATTCTGGAATTCTGTGAACCCTCCCCATCCCCAAGGATCCTTGGAAGCGCCCAAGGATGAGCTCTGAGCACCCCAATCCAGCAGGAGGTGTCCCTGCCCAGCATCCATGGAATGAGAGGATCTCCCAGGCCCGTTCCCACCCATCCCATCTCATCCCAACCCATCCAATCCCATCGATCCCATCCCATTGATCCCATCCCCTTCCACTGATCCCATCCCATTGATCCCATCCCATTGATCCCATTGAACCCATCCCATTGAACCCATCCCATCAATCCCGTCCTGCCCCACGTCTCCGGGCTCTCACCGGCACCGTGTTCCTCAGGAACGGCTCGGCCGTGTCCTTGAGCAGGCTGGAGAACTCCTCCTTGCTCAGGTAGTCGTCCATGGGGTACCTCATGGCGTACTGGTGGTAGACGTTGACGGCGCATTCCAGCGCCAGCTCCAGGTCGGTTTTCATCCTGCTGGGAAGGGACAAACAGAAAATATCAAACAGAACCCCAGCACGGGCACCGGCCGCTCATCAGGAAGGAGCTGCTCACCTTGGAGGAGGTCTGGGCTCTGCAGAGGAAGGAGCAGGAGGATCGGGTGATGCCGAGCTGGGGATGGCACCTTTTATACCCTGCCGGAGCTGCCAGCCGTGCCAGCCTCGGTTCCCGGCAGGGCAGGAACCTCCAGGAGTTGTGCAAGGCAGCGCAGCACGCCCAGGTGAGGATTTCGGGCTCCTCACCCCATCCAGGAACTGTTATCGAGGGAGGGGAAGCCCCAAACTCGTCAGGGAAAACAAGGAAACACCAAAAATGGCATCGGGGGTCAGCAATGGTGCAGGAGCTTTTCTGGAACGTTCTACAAGTGTTTGGTGGAGATGATGGAAGAGGAACTTCTCTGGGTGGGGGTCTCCAGCTGACACTGGTTTCACCCAGTGGTTTGTCCCCGATGTTTTTGGTGAATTTGGCTGCTGGAAGGTCTGGGATTAAGCCCTTTTCTGACTCACAGATGGAGCAATTGAGAGACATTTGAAAAACTTTAATTTCATTTTGTCGGGCTTTGAAAATTCTCCTCCAATTCACTTCCCACAGACAGGTGCCAGGGTGGCCAGCACATCCCACCCCTCCCTGAGGACATTCCCCATGATCCAGGGGACAATTTTGCTGGGTGGAACTCTGCCAGCCGCTCCTAGGAGGTGGCACTTCCCGGCAGCCGGAATTGCTGCCCGAGGATAACGCAGGGCATTGGCCAACGCTGCTCACCCCCAGCTGTCCCCCAGGTCTGGGACCCCCCAGTGCTCCCAGTGGAGCCCCCCCAGTATTCCCAGTGCCCAGAATGAGCTGCAGAACCCCGAGTGTCAGGAGGAGGGTGGTGAGGAGCCTCCACCCGAGGTGGTCACGAAGGCTTTTGGGAAGTGACGATGACAGCGGTGGTGAAACATCTCCCGCCAGCCTCCTAATCCCAGGAACCGCTGCCAGAAAAACCCAAAATTGCAAAAGAGGGAGACAAAGGGACGGGGTTTGGGATGGGGACGGGCGCGTCCTCAACGGGAAGGGGACACGCGTGGGCTGGGCAGAGGGACAGAGGTGACCCGGCAGGGACACGGGTTCAGACAGGCCTGGGGATGGCAGAGGGCATGGCTGGGCCACGTGGGGACAGGGAGGGACAAGGACAGGTGAGTGCCATGGGGATGGGAGAGGGCATAGCTGGGCCATGTGGGGACAGGGACAAGGACAGGTGAGTGCCATGGGGACAGGAGGGGACAAGGACAGGTGAGTGCCATGGGGACAGGAGGGGACAAGGACAGATGAGTGCCATGGGGATGTGGGAGGGCGTAGCTGGGCCACCTGGCAGGGGGACAAGGACACCTGAGTGCCATGGGGACAGGAGAGGGACAAGGACAGGTGAGTGCCATGGGGATGGGAGGGGGATAAGGACAGGTGAGTGCCATGGGGACAGGAGGGGACAAGGACAGGTGAGTGCCATGGGGATGGGAATGGGACAAGGACACCTGTGTGCCATGGGGATGGCAGAGGGCGTGGCTGGGCCACCTGGCAGGGGGACAAGGACAAGTGAGTGCCACGGGGACAGGAGGGGACAAGGACAGGTGAGTGATTTAGGGTGGATCCCTGTGAGGGGGGACTGATTCAGGGTGGATCTCTGTGGGGGGGATGAATTCAGGGTGGATCCCTCTGCGGGGGATAAATTTAGGGTGGATCTCTGTGGGCAGCATCATTCCACCCTCAGATGGCCACAGGTGAGGAGTGGGATTTTGGGGCTCCCTCTCACCTGCCCAGGGGTGCAGCCCCGTTCCCTGGGGGTTCGCTGACTTTGGAGGAATGCAGAATTTTTTTCCCTAAATCTTTTTTTTCCCCTAAATCTTAGAATCCCAGGATCTCAGATGCTGGAAAAGCTCCAAGATCACCAAGTCCAAGCTGTGCCAAATCCCCACCTCCTCACCCAGACCAACACCCAGGAGTTCCCCGGACACCTCCAAACCTCCCTGGGCAGCCCTTCCAAGCCCTTTTCTCTTTTCCAGGAGGAAATTCCACCCCACGAGCCCCCCCGAGGCCGTTCCCTCTCCTCCAGTCCCTCTGTGTCACCGCTGGAGCATCCCCAGCTGAGGATGACGGCGGCGGAGGGGGCGCAGCCACATCTGGAAGGGGCGCGTGGCACATCTGGAGCCCGCAGCGTGACAAAGCTTTTCACTGCGAGGGAAAAGGGCAGCGGGGGAGGAACGGAGCGGCGGGCCCGGGAGCGGGACGGGCTGGCCCGGGGCACCGGGAAGTGGCGGCTCCGCTCGGCCGCACCCCGGGCAGGAACGCGGCCCAAGCCCCGCGGCAGGAGGGGTGGGGAGGCGACAATCGCGACATCCGCGGGGCGGCAGGGCAGGGATGGAGGCCGGGCCGGTGTAATTCCAGCTCTGAGCTGATCCCGCGTCCCTGCGGGATGTGAGCGGCTCCCGGGAAGGAGCGGCCGGGCAGGGCTGAGTCAGCCCGACGTGGCTGCCGGGAGCGGCCCCGGGGGCGGTTCGGAGGCCTCGGGGGATGGAGAATCCACCCCGGGCAGAGCCAGAACCAGAACCAGAACTAGAGCCAAAACCAGAATCAGAGCCAGAACCAGAGTCAGAACCAGAACGAGAGCCAGAGCCAGAACCAGAACCAGAACCAGAACCAGAACGAGAACCAGAACGAGAACCAGAGCCAGAGTCAGAGCCAGAACCAGAAATAAAGCCAGAGCCAGAGCCAGAACCAGAGCCAAAACCAGAACCAGAGCCAGAACCAGAGCCAGAGCCAGAGCCAGAGCCAGAACCAGAAATAAAGCCAGAGCCAAAACCAGAACCAGAGCCAGAACCAGAGCCAGAGCCAGAGCCAGAGCCAGAACCAGAAATAAAGCCAGAGCCAAAACCAGAACCAGAGCCAGAACCAGAGCCAGAGCCAGAGCCAGAGCCAGAACCAGAAATAAAGCCAGAGCCAAAACCAGAACCAGAGCCAGTCTGGCGTCACCCCCAGCTTCCCCCAACCCGGGCAGACATCCCCCCGGGTCAAAAACGCTTCATTTGAATCGAGATTTTGGGAGGGCGTAGCTGGGCCACCTGGCAGGGGGACAAGGACACCTGAGTGCCATGGGGACAGGAGAGGGACAAGGACAGGTGAGTGATTTAGGGTGGATCCCTGTGAGGGAGGACTGATTCAGGGTGGATCTCTGTGAGGGGGATGAATTCAGGGTGGATCCCTCTGGGGGGGATAAATTTAGGGTGGATCCTGTAGGCAGCATCATTCCACCCTCAGATGGCCACAGGTGAGGAGTGGGATTTTGGGGCTCCCTCTCACCTGCCCAGGGGTGCAGCCCCGTTCTCTGGGGGTTCGCTGACTTTGGAGGAATGCAGAATTTTTTTCCCTAAATCTTTTTTTTTTCCCTAAATCTTAGAATCCCAGGATCCTGGAGGTTGGAAACTCTCCAAGATCACAGAGTTCAAGCTGTGCCCAATCCCCACCTCCTCACCCAGACCAACACCCAGGAGATCCCCAGACACCTCCAAACCTCCCTGGGCAGCCCTTCCAAGCCCTTTTCTCTTTTCCAGGAGGAAATTCCACCCACGAGCCCCCCCGAGGCCGTTCCCTCTCCTCCAGTCCCTCTGTGTCACCGCTGGAGCATCCCCAGCTGAGGATGACGGCGGCGGAGGGGGCGCAGCCACATCTGGAAGGGGCGTGTGGCACATCTGGAGCCCGCAGCGTGACAAAGCTTTTCACTGCGAGGGAAAAGGGCAGCGGGGGAGGAACGGAGCGGCGGGCCCGGGAGCGGGACGGGCTGGCCCGGGGCACCGGGAAGTGGCGGCTCCGCTCGGCCGCACCCCGGGCAGGAACGCGGCCCAAGCCCCGCGGCAGGAGGGGTGGGGAGGCGACAATCGCGACATCCGCGGGGCGGCAGGGCAGGGATGGAGGCCGGGCCGGTGTAATTCCAGCTCTGAGCTGATCCCGCGTCCCTGCGGGATGTGAGCGGCTCCCGGGAAGGAGCGGCCGGGCAGGGCTGAGTCAGCCCGACGTGGCTGCCGGGAGCGGCCCCGGGGGCGGTTCGGAGGCCTCGGGGGATGGAGAATCCACCCCGGGCAGAGCCAGAACCAGAACCAGTGCCAGAGCCAGAGCCAGTGCCAGAATCAGAACCAGAACTAGAGCCAAAACCAGAATCAGAGCCAGAACCAGAGTCAGAACCAGAACGAGAGCCAGAGCCAGAACCAGAACCAGAACCAGAACCAGAACGAGAACCAGAACGAGAACCAGAGCCAGAGTCAGAGCCAGAACCAGAAATAAAGCCAGAGCCAGAACCAGAGCCAAAACCAGAACCAGAGCCAGAACCAGAGCCAGAGCCAGAGCCAGAGCCAGAACCAGAAATAAAGCCAGAGCCAGAACCAGAGCCAAAACCAGAACCAGAGTCAGAACCAGAACCAGAGCCAAAACCAGAACCAGAGTCAGAACCAGAACCAGAGCCAAAACCAGAACCAGAGCCAGAACCAGAGCCAGAGCCAGAGCCAGAGCCAGAACCAGAAATAAAGCCAGAGCCAAAACCAGAACCAGAGCCAGTCTGGCGTCACCCCCAGCTTCCCCCAACCCGGGCAGACATCCCCCCGGGTCAAAAACGCTTCATTTGAATCGAGATTTATTTTCAGGGTGGATCCCTCTGGGGGGGATAAATTTAGGGTGGATCCTGTAGGCAGCATCATTCCACCCTCAGATGGCCACAGGTGAGGAGTGGGATTTTGGGGCTCCCTCTCACCTGCCCAGGGGTGCAGCCCCGTTCCCTGGGGGTTCGCTGACTTTGGAGGAATGCAGAATTTTTTTCCCTAAATCTTTTTTTTCCCCTAAATCTTAGAATCCCAGGATCTCAGATGCTGGAAAAGCTCCAAGATCACCAAGTCCAAGCTGTGCCAAATCCCCACCTCCTCACCCAGACCAACACCCAGGAGTTCCCCGGACACCTCCAAACCTCCCTGGGCAGCCCTTCCAAGCCCTTTTCTCTTTTCCAGGAGGAAATTCCACCCACGAGCCCCCCCGAGGCCGTTCCCTCTCCTCCAGTCCCTCTGTGTCACCGCTGGAGCATCCCCAGCTGAGGATGACGGCGGCGGAGGGGGCGCAGCCACATCTGGAAGGGGCGTGTGGCACATCTGGAGCCCGCAGCGTGACAAAGCTTTTCACTGCGAGGGAAAAGGGCAGCGGGGGAGGAACGGAGCGGCGGGCCCGGGAGCGGGACGGGCTGGCCCGGGGCACCGGGAAGTGGCGGCTCCGCTCGGCCGCACCCCGGGCAGGAACGCGGCCCAAGCCCCGCGGCAGGAGGGGTGGGGAGGCGACAATCGCGACATCCGCGGGGCGGCAGGGCAGGGATGGAGGCCGGGCCGGTGTAATTCCAGCTCTGAGCTGATCCCGCGTCCCTGCGGGATGTGAGCGGCTCCCGGGAAGGAGCGGCCGGGCAGGGCTGAGTCAGCCCGACGTGGCTGCCGGGAGCGGCCCCGGGGGCGGTTCGGAGGCCTCGGGGGATGGAGAATCCACCCTGGGCAGAGCCAGAACCAGAGCCAGAACCAGTGCCAGAGCCAGAGCCAGTGCCAGAATCAGAGCCAGAACCAGAGCCCGCCTGGGAGTGGCCCCAGGGGCGGTTCGGGAGGCCTCAGGGGATGCAGAATCCACCCCGGGCAGAGCCAGAACCAGAACCAGAACTAGAGCCAAAACCAGAATCAGAGCCAGAACCAGAGTCAGAACCAGAACGAGAGCCAGAGCCAGAACCAGAACCAGAAATAAAGCCAGAGCCAAAACCAGAACCAGAGTCAGAACCAGAACCAGAGCCAAAACCAGAACCAGAGCCAGAACCAGAGCCAGAGCCAGAGCCAGAGCCAGAACCAGAAATAAAGCCAGAGCCAAAACCAGAACCAGAGCCAGTCTGGCGTCACCCCCAGCTTCCCCCAACCCGGGCAGACATCCCCCCGGGTCAAAAACGCTTCATTTGAATCGAGATTTATTGAAATGACATCGGGAGCACAACGGGACGATCCCGGGGCGGCGCCGGGCCCTGCCCTCACTTCCTGCGGGGCATCTTGTCCGGGAGGTCCTGGAAGAACTCGTTGCACATCATGGCCATGCAGGCCAGGAAGGTCACGTACTCCTGGAAGTCCACCTCGTTGTCGCTGTTGCAGTCCAGGTTGCTCATCAGCTTCTGTAAACTCGCCTCGCTGGTTTGCTTCTACCCGCGGGGAGGGAAAAGGAGGGGTTAAAACCGGGCTCTGCACGCCCCCGAGGCCCCGAGCGCCCGGCACTCACGCTGAAGCTCGGCAGCTCCTTGGTGAGCAGCTCCTTGAGCTCGGCTTTGTTGAGCTTGTACTTGTCGCCCTCGTTGCCCGAGTACTTGTGGAAGGTGGCGACCACCACGGCCAGCGCCTGCTCCAGGGGACACGCCATGGGGACAGCGGCAAGCCTGGGGACACGGGGAGGGGACAGGAGTTGGGCATCGCCAGGCACGCCCGTGCCAGGCCCGGGCACGTCCCGGGATGCGCCGCTCCCTCCCCGGCTCCACCTCCCGCTCCGGCCGGGCTGCGCAGCCCCCAAATAGAAGGAAAATGGGGCAGGGAAGGGGTTCAGGTGCTTTTCCAGCCCTCGCCAGGTGAAATCCACGTTCCCAACTCGGCACCTGCAGCAGGAACCTCTGCCAGGGGGAGGGGGCAGCCGCGCCCCGGCAACATCTGGAGAGCATCTGGAGAGGGAAGGGAGGGGGGAAAACAACTCACCGAGAGCTCAGGCGGGATAAAGGAGGACGGGCAGGGCGGAAGGGGAGCCAGCCTCGGGCCCTGGCATTTATAGCCCCGCCTGGGCCACACCCGGCCGGGGAGGCAGCGCCGCTCCCGAGCCCGCCCGGACCCGGCCGGGAAAGGAGAGAAGGAGGAGAAAGGAAACCCCCCCTGCCGCGGGCGCTGGTTTGGGTTAGGAGGAGCAAAATGTGCCCCTGGGGCTGCCCAGCCACCCCCCGGGCCGGGAGAGCCCCCCGGGATTGGGGGTGTGCGGGTGGGCACCGCGGCCCCCGGTGGGCACCGGTACCCCCGGCAGCATCCCGGGGCTCGCCCGGGACCCGGCGGGGTTTGGCCGCGGGGGTGGCCTCGAGCCGAGGGTTTTTTTGCCTTTTCCAGTGGTCTGGCAGCGATTTGTGTTTCCTAACGGCGAGGGCGGCGTCCCCGTTGTGTAACGGGGCTGCTCCCGTGGCTGCCCGGCCCCGGCGCGTGTCCCGGAGCTGCGGGAGCACCGGGAACCGGCACTGCCCGCCCCACAGCCCTGGCAAGACCCCCGAGCGTCCCCCAGCTGGGCAGAGGGACAAAAACGGCGACAAAGCCGGGTTGCTCAGGGAGGGAAATTCCCCAAACCCCAGTTCAGGGGGAGCTCGGGGGGGGTCTTCACATTTTGGCTGAAAAAACCCCCCAAGGCTGAGCTTCATCACCCCACCAGCGAGTGGAAATTTGGGGGAATCGCTGGGAGGGGCAGAAGCTCCGGGGGTTCTTTGTAAAGGGTTTGGGAAGGGGCAGGGGAAAGTTTGGAGCTGCTGGAAGGGCCTGAGGGGGCTCGGGGAGGAGCTGGGGGCTGGGGGACAGCTCTGCCCTGCTCTGTGGGGCTCTCACAGCCGGGATTGTTCTCTGGAAAGGCAGAGAGAAGCTGAGGGACCTTTCCCAAACCAGCCCCGACCTGCCCGGAGCTGCTGGGGGCGGGGGAGCCCCGTGACTCCCAAATGCCACCCCCGGTTGTGGCCACGGGGACACGCTGTGCCTGCTGCGCCTGCCCAGGCTTGGGGTGCCCCTGAACCCCCCCGAGGCAGGCAGAACGTTCAGGGGGACATCCAAGAGCTATTTTAGCTCAAATTTTTCCAAAATAAAACCTCCCAGGGCTGAGGCACGCCGTGGAAAATCCCACGGAGCTGGAGGAAGGCGTGAGTCAGCCACTGCTGGTGGCCACCGAGCCCCAGAACTGAGCCAGGATTGGGGGAAAACCTGAACAGAACCCCAGAACTGAGCCAGGATTGGGGTAAAATCTGAACAGAACCCCAGAACTGAGCCGGGATTGGGGTAAAATCTGAACAGAACCCCAGAACTGAGCCGGGATTGGGGGGAAACATGAACAGAAACCTGGAGCATGGCCAGAATTGGGGTAAAACCTGAACAGAACCCCAGAACTGAGCTGGGATTGGGGTAAAATCTGAACAGAAGCCCAAAACTGCGGCACTGCCCGCCCCACAGCCCTGGCAAGACCCCCGAGCGTCCCCCAGCTGGGCAGAGGGACAAAAACGGCGACAAAGCCGGGTTGCTCAGGGAGGGAAATTCCCCAAACCCCAGTTCAGGGGGAGCTCGGGGGGGGTCTTCACATTTTGGCTGAAAAAACCCCCCAAGGCTGAGCTTCATCACCCCACCAGCGAGTGGAAATTTGGGGGAATCGCTGGGAGGGGCAGAAGCTCCGGGGGTTCTTTGTAAAGGGTTTGGGAAGGGGCAGGGGAAAGTTTGGAGCTGCTGGAAGGGCCTGAGGGGGCTCGGGGAGGAGCTGGGGGCTGGGGGACAGCTCTGCCCTGCTCTGTGGGGCTCTCACAGCCGGGATTGTTCTCTGGAAAGGCAGAGAGAAGCTGAGGGACCTTTCCCAAACCAGCCCCGACCTGCCCGGAGCTGCTGGGGGCGGGGGAGCCCCGTGACTCCCAAATGCCACCCCCGGTTGTGGCCACGGGGACACGCTGTGCCTGCTGCGCCTGCCCAGGCTTGGGGTGCCCCTGAACCCCCCCGAGGCAGGCAGAACGTTCAGGGGGACATCCAAGAGCTATTTTAGCTCAAATTTTTCCAAAATAAAACCTCCCAGGGCTGAGGCACGCCGTGGAAAATCCCACGGAGCTGGAGGAAGGCGTGAGTCAGCCACTGCTGGTGGCCACCGAGCCCCAGAACTGAGCCAGGATTGGGGGAAAACCTGAACAGAACCCCAGAACTGAGCCAGGATTGGGGTAAAATCTGAACAGAACCCCAGAACTGAGCCGGGATTGGGGGGAAACATGAACAGAAACCTGGAGCATGGCCAGAATTGGGGTAAAACCTGAACAGAACCCCAGAACTGAGCTGGGATTGGGGTAAAATCTGAACAGAAGCCCAAAACTGAGCCAGGATCGGGGGAGAACCTGAACAGAACCCCAGAATTCAGCCACGAATTCAACCACTGGAGAAAACCTGAACAAACCCCAGAACTGAGCCAGGATTGGGAAATATTTTATTGAAAGCCACTCAGGGCTGGGATGAGCACGGGGAGGGGACACTCAGGGGTCACTCAGGGGTCACTCAGGGTCACTCAGGGGGTCACTAGAGGGTCATCCAGGGGTCACTCAGGGGTCACTTCCTGCGGTGCTTGCTGGGGTCGTCCTTGAAGAACTCGTTGAAGCCCATGGTGATGCAGGCCAGGAAGCAAACGTACTCCTTGAAATCCACCTCGCTGTCCTTGTTGTGGTCCAGGTCGTTCACCAGGCGCTTGAACTCGGCCTCGTCCATTTGTTTCTGCCGGGGGAGAGGGTTTGGGGGGAGGGTTCGGGGGGAGGGGCTGCTCCTCCCCGCCCCCTCCCCTGCTCTGCCTCAGGGAGGGGGTCAAAACTGAACCAGGATTGGGGGGAGCCTGAACAGAAACCCAGAACTGAGCTAGGATTGGGGGGAAACATGAACAGAACCCCAAAACTGAGCCAGGACTGGGGGAAAACATGAACAGAAACCCAGAAGTGAGCCAGGATTGGGGGGAAACATAAACAGAACCCCAAAACTGAACCAGGATTGGGGGGAGCCTGAACAGAAACCCAGAACTGAGCTAGGATTGGGGGGAAACATGAACAGAACCCCAAAACTGAGCCAGGACTGGGGGAAAACATGAACAGAAACCCAGAAGTGAGCCAGGATTGGGGGGAAACATAAACAGAACCCCAAAACTGAACCAGGATTGGGGGGAGCCTGAACAGAAACCCAGAACTGAGCTAGGATTGGGGGGAAACATGAACAGAACCCCAAAACTGAGCCAGGACTGGGGGAAAACATGAACAGAAACCCAGAAGTGAGCCAGGATTGGGGGGAAACATAAACAGAACCCCAAAACTGAACCAGGATTGGGGGGAGCCTGAACAGAAACCCAGAACTGAGCTAGGATTGGGGGGAAACATGAACAGAACCCCAAAACTGAGCCAGGACTGGGGGAAAACATGAACAGAAACCCAGAAGTGAGCCAGGATTGGGGGGAAACATAAACAGAACCCCAAAACTGAACCAGGATTGGGGGGAGCCTGAACAGAAACCCAGAACTGAGCTAGGATTGGGGGGAAACATGAACAGAACCCCAAAACTGAGCCAGGACTGGGGGAAAACATGAACAGAAACCCAGAAGTGAGCCAGGATTGGGGGGAAACATAAACAGAACCCCAAAACTGAACCAGGATTGGGGGGAGCCTGAACAGAACCCCAGAACTGAGCTAGGATTGGGCGGAAACATGAACAGAACCCCAAAATTGAGCTGGAATTGGGGGAGCCTAAACAGAACCCCAAAATTGAGCTGGAATTGGGGGAGCCTGAACAGAACCCCAGAACTGAGCTGGGATTGGGGGAGAAGCTGAACAGAACCCCAAAATTGAGCTGGAATTGGGGGAGCCTGAACAGAACCCCAAAACTGAGTCAGGATTGGGGGGAACCTGAACAGAACCCCAGAACTGAGCTGGGATTGGGGGGAACCTGAACAGAACCCCAGAATTCAGCCACGAATTCAACCACTGGAGAAAACCTGACCAAACCCCAGAACTGAGCTGGGATTGGGGGGAACCTGAACAGAACCCCAGAATTCAGCCACGAATTCAACCACTGGAGAAAACCTGACCAAACCCCAGAACTGAGCTGGGATTGGGGGGAACCTGAACAGAACCCCAGAATTCAGCCACGAATTCAACCACTGGAGAAAACCTGACCAAACCCCAGAACTGAGCTGGGATTGGGGGGAACCTGAACAGAACCCCAGAATTCAGCCACGAATTCAACCACTGGAGAAAACCTGACCAAACCCCAGAACTGAGCTGGGATTGGGGGGAACCTGAACAGAACCCCAAAATTGAGCTGGAATTGGGGGAGCCTGAACAGAAACCCAGAACTGAGCTGGGATTGGGGGGAAGCTGAACAGAACCCCAGAATTCAGCCACGAATTCAACCACTGGAGAAAACCTGAACAAAGCCCAGAACTGAGCCAGGATTGGGAAATATTTTATTGAAAGCCACTCAGGGCTGGGATGAGCACGGGGAGGGGGTCACTCGGGGGTCACTCGGGGGTCACTCGGGGGGTCACTAGAGGGTCATCCAGGGGTCAAAAACATGAACAGAACCCTGGAGCGTGGCCAGGATTGGGGGAAAACATGAACAGAGACCCAAAACTGAGCCAGGATCGGGGGAGAACCTGAACAGAAACCCAGAACTGAGCTGGGATTGGGGGGAAGCTGAACAGAACCCCAGAATTCAGCCACGAATTCAACCACTGGAGAAAACCTGAACAAAGCCCAGAACTGAGCCAGGATTGGGAAATATTTTATTGAAAGCCACTCGGGGCTGGGATGAGCACGGGGAGGGGACACTCAGGGGTCACTCAGGGGTCACTCAGGGTCACTCAGGGGGTCACTAGAGGGTCATCCAGGGGTCACTCAGGGGTCACTTCCTGCGGTGCTTGCTGGGGTCGTCCTTGAAGAACTCGTTGAAGCCCATGGTGATGCAGGCCAGGAAGCAAACGTACTCCTTGAAATCCACCTCGCTGTCCTTGTTGTGGTCCAGGTCGTTCACCAGGCGCTTGAACTCGGCCTCGTCCATTTGTTTCTGCCGGGGGAGAGGGTTTGGGGGGAGGGTTCGGGGGGAGGGGCTGCTCCTCCCCGCCCCTCTCCCCTGCTCTGCCTCAGGGAGGGGTTTTGGCCTTGGCAGCTGCAGGTGGGTGAGCTGGGCAGTGCCCAAATTAGCAAAAGTGCCTGCCGGATGTGGAAAAATTTAGCAAAATAAATAAAGAAATAAATAATCGCCTCCCAGTTGAAACCACAAGCCAAAAAAGGGAAGTGAGGGTTTAAAAAAGAAATTATGAAAAAAAATGGAAATCGGAGCGTGATTTCCTTTGCCAAACCAAATTTTTCTGTGGGGGTTTTTTTTTTAAAAAAAAAAGACTTTTTTAAAAAGAAAAACTTAAAGGAAAAATTTCCTTTGGGGCTGAGCCCCTCCAGACCTCATCCCTCCCCTTCCCCAGGGAAGCACCCTGAGGGACGAACCCACCAGAATTTCAGAAACCCCCCCTGGCCCGGGAGCAGAACCCGGGGCTGCTCCTTCCCCGTCCCCCAAGGACACCCGGGGGTGTCCCCGCGGCCACTCACGCTCCCGAAGACGGGCAGCTCCTTGTTGAGCAGCTCCTTGAGCTCGGCCTTGCTCAGCTTGTACTTGTCGCCCTCCTTGGCCGAGTACTTGTGGAAGGTGGTGACCATGACGGCCATCGCCTGCTCCAGGGGACACGCCATGGCAGCCTGGGGACACGGGGTGCCGTCAGCCTTTGGGGGTGTCCCGGGCTGCTTTGGGGGTGCCCCGGGCTGCTTTGGGGTGCCCGGGCTGCTTTTGGGGTGCCCCGGGCTGCTTTGGGGTGCCCGGGCTGCTTTTGGGGTGCCCCGGGCTGCTTTGGGGTGCCCCGGGCTGCTTTGGGGGGTGCCGTCAGCCTTTGGGGGTGCCCCGGGCTGCTTTTGGGTGTCCCGGGCTGCTTTGGGGTGGAGGGAGCGGGCACTCACCGGCTCAGCGCGGCTCAGCTCGCCCAGCAGTGGGGATGGGGTGCCGGGGCACGGAGGGGGTTTATAGCCCGGCAGGGTGGCACTGCCCCCCCGCAGCCCCCGGCCCGCCCTGCTGTGCCCAGAGAGGGTTTCGCCCGCGCCTCATTTTTGGGTAACGAGCTGTGTGATCCCATTAATGAGCTCTGTGATCCCGTTAATGAGCGTGCCGCGGGCTGCTTTGGGGGTGCCCAGGCTGCTTTTGGGGTGTCCCGGGCTGGTTTGGGGTGTCCCGGGCTGCTTTTGGGGTGTCCAGGCTGCTTTGGGGGTGCCCAGGCTGCTTTTGGGGGTGCCGTCAGCCTTTGGGGGTGCCCCGGGCTGCTTTGGGGTGCCCGGGCTGCTTTTGGGGTGCCCCGGGCTGCTTTGGGGTGCCCGGGCTGCTTTTGGGGTGCCCCGGGCTGCTTTGGGGTGCCCGGGCTGCTTTGGGGGTGCCCCGGGCTGGTTTGGGGTGGAGGGAGCGGGCACTCACCGGCTCAGCGCGGCTCAGCTCGCCCAGCAGTGGGGATGGGGTGCCGGGGCACGGAGGGGGTTTATAGCCCGGCAGGGTGGCACTGCCCCCCCGCAGCCCCCGGCCCGCCCTGCTGTGCCCAGAGAGGGTTTCGCCCGCGCCTCATTTTTGGGTAACGAGCTGTGTGATCCCATTAATGAGCTCTGTGATCCCGTTAATGAGCTCTGTGATCCCGTTAATGAGCGAACTGTGAGATCCCATTAATGAGCGAGCTGTGAGATCCCATTAATGAGCTGTGTGATCCCGTTAACGAGCTGTGTGATCCCATTAATGAGCTCTGTGATCCCGTTAATGAGCGAACTGTGAGATCCCATTAATGAGCTGTGTGATCCCATTAATGAGCTCTGTGATCCCGTTAACGAGCTGTGTGATCCCATTAATGAGCTCTGTGATCCCGTTAACGAGCTGTGTGATCCCATTAATGAGCTCTGTGATCCCGTTAATGAGCGAACTGTGAGATCCCATTAATGAGCGAGCTGTGAGATCCCATTAATGAGCGAGCTGTGAGATCCCATTAATGAGCGAGCTGTGAGATCCCATTAATGAGCTCTGTGATCCCGTTAACGAGCTGTGTGATCCCATTAATGAGCTCTGTGATCCCGTTAATGAGCGAACTGTGAGATCCCATTAATGAGCGAGCTGTGAGATCCCATTAATGAGCTCTGTGATCCCGTTAACGAGCTGTGTGATCCCATTAATGAGCTCTGTGATCCCGTTAACGAGCTGTGTGATCCCATTAATGAGCTCTGTGATCCCGTTAATGAGCGAACTGTGAGATCCCATTAATGAGCGAGCTGTGAGATCCCATTAATGAGCTCTGTGATCCCGTTAACGAGCTGTGTGATCCCATTAATGAGCTCTGTGATCCCGTTAACGAGCTGTGTGATCCCATTAATGAGCTCTGTGATCCCGTTAATGAGCGAACTGTGAGATCCCATTAATGAGCGAGCTGTGAGATCCCATTAATGAGCTCTGTGATCCCGTTAACGAGCTGTGTGATCCCATTAATGAGCTCTGTGATCCCGTTAATGAGCGAACTGTGAGATCCCATTAATGAGCGAGCTGTGAGATCCCATTAATGAGCTCTGTGATCCCGTTAACGAGCTGTGTGATCCCATTAATGAGCTCTGTGATCCCGTTAATGAGCGAACTGTGAGATCCCATTAATGAGCGAGCTGTGAGATCCCATTAATGAGCTCTGTGATCCCGTTAACGAGCTGTGTGATCCCATTAATGAGCTCTGTGATCCCGTTAATGAGCGAACTGTGAGATCCCATTAATGAGCGAGCTGTGAGATCCCATTAATGAGCTCTGTGATCCCGTTAACGAGCTGTGTGATCCCATTAATGAGCTCTGTGATCCCGTTAATGAGCGAACTGTGAGATCCCATTAATGAGCGAGCTGTGAGATCCCATTAATGAGCTCTGTGATCCCGTTAACGAGCTGTGTGATCCCATTAATGAGCTCTGTGATCCCGTTAATGAGCGAACTGTGAGATCCCATTAATGAGCGAGCTGTGAGATCCCATTAATGAGCTCTGTGATCCCGTTAACGAGCTGTGTGATCCCATTAATGAGCTCTGTGATCCCGTTAATGAGCGAACTGTGAGATCCCATTAATGAGCGAGCTGTGAGATCCCATTAATGAGCTCTGTGATCCCGTTAACGAGCTGTGTGATCCCATTAATGAGCTCTGTGATCCCGTTAATGAGCGAACTGTGAGATCCCATTAATGAGCGAGCTGTGAGATCCCATTAATGAGCTCTGTGATCCCGTTAACGAGCTGTGTGATCCCATTAATGAGCTCTGTGATCCCGTTAATGAGCGAACTGTGAGATCCCATTAATGAGCGAGCTGTGAGATCCCATTAATGAGCTCTGTGATCCCGTTAACGAGCTGTGTGATCCCATTAATGAGCTCTGTGATCCCGTTAATGAGCGAACTGTGAGATCCCATTAATGAGCGAGCTGTGAGATCCCATTAATGAGCTCTGTGATCCCGTTAACGAGCTGTGTGATCCCATTAATGAGCTCTGTGATCCCGTTAATGAGCGAACTGTGAGATCCCATTAATGAGCGAGCTGTGAGATCCCATTAATGAGCTCTGTGATCCCGTTAACGAGCTGTGTGATCCCATTAATGAGCTCTGTGATCCCGTTAATGAGCGAACTGTGAGATCCCATTAATGAGCGAGCTGTGAGATCCCATTAATGAGCTCTGTGATCCCGTTAACGAGCTGTGTGATCCCATTAATGAGCTCTGTGATCCCGTTAATGAGCGAACTGTGAGATCCCATTAATGAGCGAGCTGTGAGATCCCATTAATGAGCTCTGTGATCCCGTTAACGAGCTGTGTGATCCCATTAATGAGCTCTGTGATCCCGTTAATGAGCGAACTGTGAGATCCCATTAATGAGCGAGCTGTGAGATCCCATTAATGAGCTCTGTGATCCCGTTAACGAGCTGTGTGATCCCATTAATGAGCTCTGTGATCCCGTTAATGAGCGAACTGTGAGATCCCATTAATGAGCGAGCTGTGAGATCCCATTAATGAGCTCTGTGATCCCGTTAACGAGCTGTGTGATCCCATTAATGAGCTCTGTGATCCCGTTAATGAGCGAACTGTGAGATCCCATTAATGAGCGAGCTGTGAGATCCCATTAATGAGCTCTGTGATCCCGTTAACGAGCTGTGTGATCCCATTAATGAGCTCTGTGATCCCGTTAATGAGCGAACTGTGAGATCCCATTAATGAGCGAGCTGTGAGATCCCATTAATGAGCTCTGTGATCCCGTTAACGAGCTGTGTGATCCCATTAATGAGCTCTGTGATCCCGTTAATGAGCGAACTGTGAGATCCCATTAATGAGCGAGCTGTGAGATCCCATTAATGAGCTCTGTGATCCCGTTAACGAGCTGTGTGATCCCATTAATGAGCTCTGTGATCCCGTTAATGAGCGAACTGTGAGATCCCATTAATGAGCGAGCTGTGAGATCCCATTAATGAGCTCTGTGATCCCGTTAACGAGCTGTGTGATCCCATTAATGAGCTCTGTGATCCCGTTAATGAGCGAACTGTGAGATCCCATTAATGAGCGAGCTGTGAGATCCCATTAATGAGCTCTGTGATCCCGTTAACGAGCTGTGTGATCCCATTAATGAGCTCTGTGATCCCGTTAATGAGCGAACTGTGAGATCCCATTAATGAGCGAGCTGTGAGATCCCATTAATGAGCTCTGTGATCCCGTTAACGAGCTGTGTGATCCCATTAATGAGCTCTGTGATCCCGTTAATGAGCGAACTGTGAGATCCCATTAATGAGCGAGCTGTGAGATCCCATTAATGCTTTGGGGGTGCCCAGGCTGCTTTGGGGTGTCCCGGGCTGCTTTGGGGGTGTCCCGGGCTGGTTTGGGGTGCCCCAGGCTGCTTTTGGGGTGCCCCGGGCTGCTTTGGGGTGCCCCGGGCTGCTTTGGGGTGCCCCGGGCTGCTTTGGGGGGTGCCGTCAGCCTTTTGGGGTGCCCCGGGCTGCTTTTGGGTGTCCCGGGCTGCTTTGGGGTGGAGGGAGCGGGCACTCACCGGCTCAGCGCGGCTCAGCTCGCCCAGCAGTGGGGATGGGGTGCCGGGGCACGGAGGGGGTTTATAGCCCGGCAGGGTGGCACTGCCCCCCCGCAGCCCCCGGCCCGCCCTGCTGCGCCCAGAGAGGGTTTCGCCCGCGCCTCATTTTTGGGTAACGAGCTGTGTGATCCCATTAATGAGCTCTGTGATCCCGTTAATGAGCTCTGTGATCCCGTTAATGAGCGAACTGTGAGATCCCATTAATGAGCGAGCTGTGAGATCCCATTAATGAGCTCTGTGATCCCGTTAACGAGCTGTGTGATCCCATTAATGAGCTCTGTGATCCCGTTAACGAGCTGTGTGATCCCATTAATGAGCTCTGTGATCCCGTTAATGAGCGAACTGTGAGATCCCATTAATGAGCGAGCTGTGAGATCCCATTAATGAGCGAGCTGTGAGATCCCATTAATGAGCGAGCTGTGAGATCCCATTAATGAGCGAGCTGTGAGATCCCATTAATGAGCGAGCTGTGAGATCCCATTAATGAGCGAGCTGTGAGATCCCATTAATGAGCGAGCTGTGAGATCCCATTAATGAGCTCTGTGATCCC